GCCGATGCCTCCGTCGCCTGGCTGGAGTGGCCGCGGGGGGGTCTGGAGTCGGGCGGCCGCTGGCGGGGGACGCAGTCGCCCGGGCCGAGATTGGGGGGGCATGGCGGGGGACAGAAGGCCGATGCCTCCGTCGCCCGGCCCTCTACAGAATCCACCCCCCAAACCTCCAGGTATTTCCCTCCTTAGAGCTGGCAACCCTACATTCCCCTCAGTGCCTGTTGGTAGGCAACTAAGCTTGGTCCTGTCACCTACTTTGGCCTTTGGGAGAAAACACATTGGGGCCAGTCCTGATAGGGTTGCCAACTCCAGATGGGAAATTCCTGGAGATTTGAGGGATGGAGCCTGAAGAGGGTGAGGTTTGAGGAGGGGTGGGACCTCAGACAGGTACACTGCCATAGACTCCACCCTCCAAACCAGTCAGTCTCACATAGGGAACCATTGTTGCCAATCTCCAGGTGAGGGCTGGAGAGCACTCAGTATTACAACTGCTCTGCAGAAGGGAGGGCAGAAGTCAGCTGAAGTCAAAGGGGCAGATAATGGTAGGTTGGTGGCTAGCTGGGAAGGAGATGGGGTTGCCAACTACATGCTGACAAATTCCTGGGGATTTGAGGGGTGGAGCATGGAGAGGGTGGGGTTTGCAGAGAGGTGGGACCTCAGACAGGTAGAATGCAATAGACTACACCCTCCAAACCAGCCATTTTGTCCTGGGTAACAATTGCTGCCATTCTGCAGGTGAGGGCTACAGATCACTCACAATTACAACTGCTCTTCAGGTAGCAGAGATCAGTTCCTCTAGAGAAAACAGAGGACTCTGTCATTATACTCTGCTGAGGTCACCACAGCAAATTGACACTGTTTGCCCAAAGCCAGAGCACTGCCCCAGAGCCTCTTTCTAGATCCCGTTGTATTGCTTTCACAACGGGCTTTACTGCTAGTATACAATAAAAGAGCAGTGAACAGTAAGAGTAAAGTAATAAAGTTAAATAATGAACCTAAGTGCTTTTAAGAACATACGAGAAGCCATGTTGGATCAGGCCAGTGGCCCATCCAGTCCAACCCTCTGTGTCACACAGTGGCCAGAAATACCAGGTGTCATCAGGACCACCACCAGTGGGGCCAGAACTCCAGGAGCCCCCCTCCCACTGTTGCCCCTCCAGCACCAAGAAGACAGAGCATCACTGCCCCAGACAGAGTGTTCCATCTATACGTTGTGGCTCATAGCCACTCATGGACCTCTGCTCCATATGTCTATTCAGTCTCCTCTTGAAGCTGTCCATGCTTGTAGCCACCACCACTTCCTGCAGTGGCTCCAATCTGGATGTTGCCCTGACAAGACTGAGTCCAAGATAGTCCCAAAATCCAAATCAAACCGGTATCTGGGCAACTGGGCCCACCCAGAATCAAGAGGTGTCCCAAAGCTAGTTGTAATCCAGACAGAGAGCAAAACTAGAATAAAAGACATTTTCTTAATGCCTCATGACCTGTGATTCTAGTTGATCAATCAAAAGTATGGCCCGTGATGTAACTGGACCAATCATTGGTGTTGCTAACCAGGTGACAACCAATCAGGTAAGGCTGCCAATTAGCCCTGACACTGCAACTGTATCAGGCCCAATTAAGCAGAGTCCTTATTCCAGCATAGGCCCACTTCGGTGGTCTTGAAACTGCTAAACCTGATGATCTGGCACCTGTGAAAACTTCCCATCCACCCCCCCCAACCATAGTCAGTTTGAACTTGGTTTCTCAAGAGAGCAGAAAACTTTTCTAGGCCTCCATCTGAATCATTGTTTAGGTTTTTGACAAGAGACTGCAAAAAAAAGCTTAATCTCCTGACAGGCACAGTCTAGCCAATTTACAGGAAAATATGATGGATGTTGTAGCAATAAAGTATTTATTTCCATGTTTGTAACTTTTTTTTTTTGCCCACCCGGAGCACAATAATCCAGAGGTCCTGTGTGTATATACTGGGTGAAAGTCCCTTGTGTTTTCTCAAAGTTATGAGGTCTCATAGTGCCCATTTTAACTAATCAGAACTAAAGTCACGGCAAGTCGTTCAGCGAATGTAAGGAGCAAGGGCTGGCCACTGCGCAGGCAGCATTAGGGAGGCAGAGGAGGTGGGCATGGCATGGGGGCCTCTTCCTCCACTGACAGCCTGGTTCGCATTCATGCCTTCTGGTTCCTGTGAAACAAACATGTTCCTATCTATATATCTAATTGCCAAGTGGCCCCCGGAGTGCGGATCGCTAAATCAGCGCTCCGGGGGCACTTGGGGGGGAGGGGGAGGTTTGTGCACTCTTGGGGCAGTCCCCAGGGGTGCACAAAACGCTCTACGAACGCCGCCGCTTGGAAGGCAAGCAGCGAGCGGGGGGACCTGACCGGCGAGGGCCGAGCGGCCAGCCGGGCAGGCGGCCGCCGAGCAGG